TTATAGCGGTTTGTTTGTTTTTTTTACTATGTGAGGCCTCTGTTCTTTCTTATGAATGATGTTGCTATTCTGCCTGGTATGCTGACCTTTGGAGTCGGGGAAGTGTACAAGTGGGCAATTTTGTTGTGAACAATGGTGTATGTCTAGAAGCTTGTTATTAACATTATCGCATGATCTCTTTTAAAAGGATCAATACCACTTGGTAAGAGGCCATTCCTATTTGTGGTGGAGGGCAGAAGGTGTCTGGTTGTCTCTTCAAGATTTATTCACTTCATCGGAGGATGGTGTTATATTCCATTATATTGGGACATTTGTTGCTTTCCATCTTGTTGGAACCTTTGTGCTTTTTCATTAACTAGATGCACATTGAATAAATTTATATCACTGGACTCTGAATATATTTTTCACTTCCTGTATATGTATTGCTGTTGAAATTAATTTAAGTTCATGCGCACCTATTATAATAGCTTGAACCGATTTTTGTCTAAATTATTTTCTTTTGAGATGCTTTCTTTTACTTGCTGGTTTACTTTAACCTCTTTTCGCCCGGCCTATGGCCGAATGGTGGCTGGCGAAAACCCTTACCTTTTTGGGTGGACGCCATATGGTGTCCTTTCGGCATGCGCAGTTTGCGTGCCTGCAGAACCGCGCAGCGGCGCGATCTGTCCCCGGCCGTGTACCTCGGACATGGCCGATGACAGATCTGAGTACCGGCCCCGTTGCCGGTACCATGTGACCTGCTGTGACCAATCACATGACAGTTGTATACAATGGATGGCTTCATTCATGCCATCCATTGTATACTAGTGTGTCTAGCTGTGAATGGTCACAGCGATCACATGTACAAGCTGGGCCAATCACAGCCCAGCTGTGTCATGTGATTAGCCGCAGCAAAATCACAGCCTAGCACAAAAAAAAAATACCTTGAATGAATCGATGTCATTCAGGTAAATGCTTGCTTATAGCAAAGTAATTTTTTGCTATAAGCAAATTGTGTAAAAACAAAAAAAAAAAATATTGATCACTTCCCCAAAGTAGTACAATGTTACTATGGTAACATTGTACTACTTTGGTCATAGTGAAATATGAAAAAAAATCTTAAAAAAAGAGAAAAAAATGTAATAAAAAATTAATAAAAAAAAAAATGAAAAAAATAATTTTTTTTCATACTGTCACCAGTCAGTGTCCCTGATCGCCATGCCAGTTATATGATGACTCTGTACTGCACTGGTGACAGCATGTAAAAAAAATAGTGAAAATAATTTTTTTTATTTTTTCATTTTCCGAAAACATGACAAAAAAAATACAACTTAAAAAAACTCGCCATTCCTATTATGAAGTACGTCGGACTGTCTACTTTACAAAAAGGGGTCATTTGGGGGATATCTGTACTGTTCTGACATTCTTGGACCTCAAGAAATTAGATTGGCCGTCAGTACTTAGGATTGATCAATATTCAGATATATCCCATAGTTTGTGAACTCTATAACTTTCCTACAAGCTAAATAATACATCCTAATTTGGGTTATTTTCACCAAAGACATGTAGCAGAAAACATCTTGGCCTAAATTTATGAAGAACAATTATTTATTTGCAAAACTTTTATAACAGATATTTTTTTCAAAATTTTCTGTTTTTTTTTTGTTATTTTAGCAAAAAATAAAAACCCTAGCGATGATTAAATACCACCAAAAGAAAGCTCTAGTTGTGTGAAGAAAATGATAAAATTTTAGTTTGGGTACAGTGTTGTATGACCGCGCAATTGTCATTCAAAGTGTGAGAGCGCTGAAACCTGAAAAGTGGCCTGGGCAGGAAGGTGTAAAATTGCACGGTATTGAAGAGGTTAATAGTATAAGTAGGGAAGAATAAAAGTAGGAGTGTTGCTATGATAAAAAAGGGAGTGGGTGGGGCAGTACGAAGGATCAATGAGATCTGTTCAGTGTACAAGCAACATGCTGAAAGGAAGAAATAGAAAACTGCAGGAGGGATGAGGTCATCAGCTCGGGGCAAGGAGCCAACCTTGCTGAATTGCAGTAAATACATTTCAGGACACTGACTTGGCTCTGCTACCTGGCAAGGTTATACAAATCTCAGGACTGGAGGGATCTTTTCGTAAAACAGTTGCTTGAGATATATCTTAACTGTGTTGCCTGGATTATAGCTTTAAATAAAGCCCACTGCATGAAAAGCCATGCATCCCCATTTCCTGGTTAAGGGTGTTTCATCCAATGGAATACATTTGATTGACAATGACTGACATAACCTGACACAGTCTGACATACACTGATATTGCAATCTGGTTGCCATGGGATCCAAGGCTTTATAATGCAACACTTGCCGGCTGCTTCGGCTGTCTGTTAGTTTTGAGTCTTCAATCCATCAGGCTAGTCTCTTATGCCAGCACTGCTATTTCCAATCATTTCCCTCTGAATGTAAAATGTACGTCTTTTTAAGAACATTATCCACACATACTGTTGATGAAAAATTATATAATGGGCAGCACAGTGGCTAAATAGCACTTCTGCCTGGCAGTACTAGGGTCGTTAGTTCAAATTCCAGCCACGGCACCACCTTCCTTGAGCTTGCATGTTCTCCCTGTGCCTGCGTGGGTTTCCTCCGGGTATTCTGGTTTCCTCCCACACTCCAAAGACATGCTGGTAGGTTAATTGGATCCTGTCTAAATTGGCCTAACATGTGTATGAATGCAAGGTAGGGACCTTAGATTGTACGCCCCATGAAGGGTAGGGATTGGTGTGAATTTACAATATATATACACCGCGTTCCAAATTATTATGCAAATTCTATTTAAGTGTCACAAAGATGAAATATTTTGTTTTTCAGTTTAACTCATGGATGGCATTGTGTGTCAGGGCTCTTTTGATCAGTGAAAACAATCTCGGACACCTGTGATAATTAGATTGGCAGGTGAGCCCAATTTAAGGAAAAACTACTAAAGGACGGTGTTCCACATTATTAAGCAGAGCACCGTTTTCAAGCAATATGGGGAAGAAAAAGGATCTCTCTGCTGCCGAAAAGAGTGAAATAGTTCAATGCCTTGGACGAGGTATGAAAACATTAGATATTTCATGAAAACCTAAGCGTGATCATCGCACTATTAAGAGATTTGTGGCTGATTCAGAGCACAGACGGGTTCGTGCAGATAAAGGCACATTGAGGAAGATTTCTGCCAGATCCATGCATCGGATCAAGAGAGCAGCTGCTAAAATACCATTACATAGCAGCAAACAGATATTTGAAGCTGCTGGTGCCTCTGGAGTCCCACGGACATCAAGGTGTAGAGTCCTCCAGAGTCTTGCAACTGTGCATAAACCTTCTATTCGGCCACCACTAACCAATGCTAACAAGCAGAAACGGCTGCATTGGGCAGAAAAATACATGAAGACTAATTTTCAAACAGTCCTGTTCACTGATGAGTGCCGTGCAATCCTGGATGGTCCAGATGGATAGAGTAGTGGATGGTTGGTGAACGGCCACCCTGTTCCAACAAGGCTGCGACGTGAGCAAGGCGGTGGTGGAGTCATGTTTTGGGCCGGAATCATGGGAACAGAGCTGGTCGGCCCCTTTAGAGCCCCCGAAGGTGTAAAGATGACCTCTGCAAAGTATGTGGAGTTTATGACTGACCACTTTCTTCCCTGGTACAGAAGGAAGAACTATGCTTTCCGTAATAAAATCATCTTCATGCATGACAATGCACCATCTCATGCTGCAAAGAATACCTCTGCATCAATGGCTGCTATGGGGATAAAAGGAGAGAAAGTCATGGTGTGGCCTCCATCCTCCCCTGACCTCAATCCTATTGAGAACCTTTGGAGCATCCTCAAGCAAAAGATCTCTGAGGGTGGGAGGAAGTTTACATCCAAACAGCAGCTCGGGGAGCCTATTCTGACATCTTGCAAACACTGTCCAAAAACTCACAAGTTCAATGGATGCAAGACTTGTGAAGCTGCTATCAAATAAGGGGCCCTATGTTACAATGTAACGTGACCTGTTAAAATGTTTAAAAAGTTAAAATGTTGTTAAAAGTTTGATTGAAATAGCTTTTGATTTCAGTAAATATGCTGCAAACACAACAAATGACAATTTTCAGTTCTTTACAACCTATAAAGTGTTTTGAAACTTACTGTGCGTAATAATTTGGAACAGTGCATTGTAAGTTTTTATGTTTAACAAAAATACTGTTATCATTAGGAGGTTTGTTCAATAAAATGTGAATTGTACTCCTAATAGTTGATAACATGAGAATTATGCTGACTGTTATTTACATCAATTATTTAGGTAAACGATAAAAATATCATTTGCATAATAATTTGGAACAGGGTGTAAATACATAGTACCTGAAAAAAAAAATAAAAAACAAATAAACATAATTGTGGACATTGCTCCCACTATCTAAACTGGGGTTTTTAACCACTTCAAGTCCGGACACATTTACCCCCTTCCAGTCCAGGCCAATTTTCAGCTTTCAGTGCTATCACACTTAGAATGACAATTGCGCAGTCATGCAACACTGTACCCATATGAATTTTTTAGCATGTTTTTGAGACAGATAAAACTTTATTTTGGTGGTATTTATTCGCCACTGGGATTTAAATTTTTTTTTGCTATATAAATGAAAAAGTCCAAAAATTTTGAAAAAAGGTGTTTTTCTTATAAAATTTTGCAAATAAATAATCTTTCTGCATAAATCTTGGCCAAAATTTATTCAGTTATCTTTTTAGTAAAAAAAAAAAATAACCCAAATTAGTTTATAACCAAAAATTTTTTTTCTAAATTCTTTTTTACATTTTTATTTTTTTTTATATAATTTGTTTTTTGTTTTTTTTAACATACTGTCACCCTGTACAGCTTGTGGGGGGGTTATGAAGATTTTTTTTTTTTTTTTTTTTTTTTTACACGGAATGCTGTTACACCCATAACGGCTGTAAAAGCAATAATTTCTCCTCCTCTCTGGCTGCATTCTTGCAGCCATTGAGAAATACTGTGAGCTGTGATTGGTCACAGCTTGTCACATGGTACAAGGCTGTTGGGAATAGCCTTGTACCATGTGACCTCTGTGATCATTCACAGATTTCACATGTAGTAAGCAACAATGTCAGAAGTGACATCTTGCTTACTACTCTTCATGTGATCACTGATTGGCCAATCAGTGATCACATGATCAGGACCTCACACAGAGGACACAGCGGGCACCAAATCGCGGTGCTGCGTGCTCCCAGAAAGCGCACACAAGCAGGGGGCGGGGAGGCAGTTTATAAATGGCCACCCGCTCCTGCACTGCTCCCGTCCGGCTGTTTATAAACATGGGTCGGACGGGAAGTGGTTAAGAGTCCCAATTGTCAACAAGCCATTTCTTCAACCTTTTGGTTGTCAAAGACCCATTTGCGATATCATGACAACTTACAGCAGTCACAAGCTTCTCTTTCTAGCATATTGGTGAATTTCTAACCAGTAAGAAATGTACAGGGATTAAAAGTACACAAACAAATTAAAAAAATCATGCATACAAACACAACATGTACATATCTATGTTGTTGAAGCCCACAAACCTACCTTACCAGCATCATACACTTACAGGCCAATTTATTAGGTACACCTTACTAGTACCAGGTTGGACCCCCTTTTGGATTTAGAACTGCCTTAATAATCCGTAGCATAGATTAACAAGGTGAGGGAAACCTTCCTCTGAGATTTTGGTCCATATTGACATGATGGCTTTAGGCAGTTGCTGCAGATTTGTCCGCTGCACATCTATGATGCGACTCTCCCGTTCCACCAAATCCCAAAGGTGCTCTATTGGATTGAGATCTGGTGACTGTGGAGGCCATTGGCGTACAGTGAACTCATTGTCATGTTCAAGAAACCAATATGATATGCTTTGAGCATTATGACATGGTGCATTATCCTGCTGGAAGTAGCCATCAGAAGATGCATACACTGTAGTCATAAAGGGTTGGAAATGGTCAGTAACAATACTCAGGTAGGCTGTGGCATTTAAACAATGCTCAAGTGGTACTAAGGAGCCCAAAGTGTGCCAAGAAAATATCACCTACATCATTACACCACCAGCCTGAACTGTTGATACAAGGCAAGATGGATCCATGCTTTCATGTTATTTATGCCAAATTCTGACCCTACCATCTGAATGTCCCAGATGAAATCGAGACTCATCAGACTAGGCAATGTTTTTACAATCTTCTATTGTCCCATTTTGGTGAGCCTATGCAAAATCTAGCCTCCATTTCCTGTTCTTAGCTGACAGGATTGGCACCTGGTGTGGTCTTCTGCTGCTGTAGCCCATCTGCTTCAAGGTTCGACGTGTTGTGCGTTCAGAGTTAGTATTTTGCATACCATTGTTTTAACGAGTGGCTATTTAAATTACTGTTGCCTTTTTGTCATCTAGAACCAGTCTGGCTATTCTCCTCTGACATCAACAAGGCATTTTTATCCATACATCATCCACATTTCATCATCAACTGCCACTCACTGGATATTTTCTTTTTTTTGGACCATTCTCCGTAAACCCTAGAGATGGTTGTGTGTGAAAATCCCAGTGGATCAGCAATTTTTGAAATACTCAGACCAGCCCGTCTGGCACCAACAACCATTCCACGTTCAAAGTCACTTAAATCCCCTTTCTTCCCCATTCTGATGCTCGGTTTGAACTTCAGCAAGTGGTCTTCAACAAGCAATTGAACAGGTGTACCTAATAAAGTGGCTCTTGAGTGTACAGTTAAGGTATCTCTACAAATGCTAGTGACATAAGACTACTTTTAAGGTTTATATTTTTGTTTAAATTGATGAACAGTAAAGGTTTTAAACCATTCACCTATTTACAGATATGAACGGTTTTCATTTTCTGCCATTTAGCAGGTGCTCAAAATTTTAACCCTAGGTTGATCTGTTATATACTGTATTAACATGGCACAATTTTATGCTTTTCATCAAATTTTTGAGTGTATTTTGTGTGGCTAGGTTCACACCTATGCAGTTTGCGTTTGATCCGTTACTGCAGTGCCTTTTGAGTTGTACTTTGCATTTTTTTGCAGATGCGTTTTTAAAGCTTTTTTGACACGTTTTGCATTTTTATTGTTTAAATTTTGTTTTTTGGCCAACTTGTGGTTGGGCAGATTAAAAACACAAAACACATCAAAAACACGTAAACATACGCAAAATGCAACACTTGTGTTTTATATGTGGTTCCATTGAAGTCTATTGGACTAAAAACGCAAACTGTTGTAGTAAAAGAAGTCCCTGACCCTTTCCAAAGAACGCACCTGCAAAAAACACATAGATGTGAACGTGATCCATAGGAAATCATGATAAATGGCATGCACTGTGTTCCTGTAAAATGCATTACAAAAAAGCACAGGTGTGAACCTGGCCTAAACTAAAAATAGAGATTTTGTAGACATTTGCACACATACCAACAACATTTGTTACAGTGAAGGAAATAAATATTTGATCCCCTGCTGATTTTGAATGTTTGCCCACTCACAAAGAAATGATCAGTCTAAAAATTGAATGGTAGGTGTATTGTAACACAGAGACAGAATAGCGACAAAAAAATTCAAAAGAAATGCATGTCTAACAAATGATGCACTGATTTGTATGTTCATGAGGGAAATAAGTATTTCATCCCCTATCATTCACAGGATTTCTGGCTACCAGGTGTCTTTCATACAGGTAACAAGCTTAGATTAAAAGCAGTCTATTAAAGGGAGTGCTGCTAATCTCATTTTGTTACCTGTATAAAAGACACCTGTCCACAGGAGCAATCAAACAATCAGATTCCTACTCTCCACTATGGCAAAGACCAAAGAGTTGTCCAAGGATGTTAGGGACAAGATTGTAGACCTACACAAGGCTGGACTGGGATTCCAAACTATCGCCAAGCAGCTTGGTAAGAATGTGACAACAGCTGGTGCAATCATTCGCAAATGGAAGAAACACAAAACAACTGTCAGTCTCCCTAGGTCTGGTGCACCATACAAGATCTCACTCGTGGAGTGTCAATGATCATGAGAACAGTGAGGAATCATCCCAGAACTACACGTGAGGATCTTGTCAATGATCTACAGGCAGCTGGGACCACAGTCACCAAGAAATCAATTGGTAACACACTACGCCGACAAGGATTGAAATCCTGCAGTGCCCGCAAGGTCCCTCTGCTCAAGAAAGCACATGTCCAGGCCGTCTGAAGTTTGTCACTGAACATCTGAATGATGCAGAGGAGGACTGGTTGAAAGTGCTGTGGTCAGATGAGACCAAAATTGAGCTCTTTGGCATCAACTCAACTCGCCATGTTTAGAGGAGGAGGAATGCTGCCTATGACCCCAAGAACACCATCCCAACTGTCAAACATGGTGGTGGAAACATTCTGCTTTGGATGTGTTTTTCTGCTAAGGGGACAGAACAACTGCACCACATCAAAAGGGACGATGGACGGGGCAATGTACCATCAAATCTTGGGTGAGAACCTTCTTCCCTCAGCCAGGGCATTGAAAATGGGTTGTGGAAGGATGCTCCAGCATGACAATGACCCAAAAAAACATGGCCAAGGCAACAAAGGAGTGGCTAAAGAAGAAGCACATTAGGGTCCTGGAGTGGCCTAGCCAGTCTCCACACCTTCATCCAATCGCAAATATGTGGAGGGAGCTGAAAGTTTGAGTTGCCAAACGTCAGCCACCAAACCTTAATGACTTGAAGAGGATCTGCCAAGAGGAGTGGGCCAAAATCCCTCCTGAGATGTGTGCAAACCTGGTGGCCAACGACAGGAAACGTCTGACCTCTGTCATTGCCAACAAGGGATTTGCCATCAAGTACTAAGTCATGTTTTGTGAAGGGTATCAAATACTTATTTCCCTCATGAACATGTAAATCAGTGCATAATTTGTTAGACATGCATTTCTTTGAATTTTTTGATTCTATTCTGTCTCTCGGTGTTACAATACACCTATCTTTATATTTTTAGACTGATCATTTCTTTGTGAGTGGGCAAACATTCAAAATCAGCAGGGGATCAAATACTTATTTCCTTCACTGTATTAGCTTTCAAAAATATGGTTTGGAGAAATGTAATATTTTGAGCCTGTAATGTGCATTTCACTTGGCATGGATAAAACATGATTTATCATACTGTATTGTTCTAGTACCTTTAGGTAGATGTGGCTACTAACAGTACCCAAAGTAATGCCTTCTGTAACAATGTGGGAACCCAAAAACCTCTGTTCTATGGAGTTTAAGTTATCACAGAAAGGTGACATTCTCCCTCATTTTAGATAAGGACATGCTCACATTTGTAGAAAACACCTAAATAAGTAATAGATCAAACAAATAAGCAAGTGTCTGTTTTCCTTATGTCCAAACACAAATCATCAGGTCTGTAACTAAGAGGAAAATTGCAGCTACTGAATGTTAATAATTTAAATCACTTGAAATGCATGTAAAACTGTACTTAAAATGACTGAAATAGACTGAGATAAAGTGTAGGAATCCATTAATAAGCTTGGAAATACTATATCAACATTTTCACCTACCACTTCATTAAATACATATATTTACTCATTTTAACCACTTCAATATTGGGCACTTTTACCCCATTTTCAGCTTTCAGCGCTGTCACACTATGAATTACAATTGCGCGGTCATGCAACACTACCCAAATTAAACTTGTATCTTTTTACACAAATAAAGCTTTCTTTTGGTGGTATTTAATCAACACTGTTTTTTTTCTTCCATTTTTTGCTAAACAAATGCAAAAAGACCAAACATTTTGAAAAAAACAAAACAAAAAACTTTCTTTTCATTTCGGTTATATCATTTTTCAAGTAAATTTTCTTCTTCACCAATGTGCGCTGACAAGGCTGCACTGATCAGCTGCATTAATGGGCACTGCTAAGGCTGCACTGATTGGCACTAATGGGCATTGACGAGGCTGCACAGATGGGCCCTGATATGTGGCACTGATAGGAATTACTGATAGGCAATGATAGGCAGCACTGATAGGCACTCATAAGCTGCACTGATAGGGATGCACTGATGATCAGTGCCCTGATTATCAGTGTAAAAAAAGTGCTGACAGTCTTGATGGGTATCAGCGGTTTCATCCTCACACAGACACAATGTGTGAGGAAAAGACTGCCAATAGCCAGAACGGCTGTTTACATGTGATCAGTTGTGATTAGACATAGCTTATCACATGGTAAAGGGAACACTTTAAAAACCCATCAGATCTCAATGGGGAAAAATATCATGCTAGATATCTATACTGATATGGACTGGGTAATGTGTTAGGAATGTAAGGATGCCCCATCCTTTGATGGAA